TTTTGAATTCCTCTTTTTTGTGCCTATGGGATATTTTGCTTTCTGTGACTATTCTTAGAGGACTGTCTGCATGAAATTTAGCTAGGGTACTGGTTAAACTTGGTGTTAATTGCTGAATGGGTTGCTACAGTGACCTAGTTTTAGTTCTGTGCAGTAAACATGACCAATGGAAAGACATTCCATGCTCCTCCTTGATTGGCAGAATTAAATTAATATTGTGAAAATTGCGACACTATTGTAATTGATTTACAGATTTAATCCAATACCTATGGAAATTACAGTACTATATTTCATAGGTTTAGAATACAATACAAGGATTCATACAGAGAAAAAGAAAGATCATGAGTAGCCAAAGAAATTGTAATTAGTCAAAACACTACTGGATATATTTCAATATCCAACCACAAATTATACTATAGTGTTATAGTCATAAAGAAAGTCATGTATTGGCGTAGAAATAAAAAAAAATGATTATTATAGTAGATGACTTGGAAAGAAAATGCCAAAGCTATTCCTGCTTAATTTTTAACAAAGAAAACAAACACACACACACTGGGGGAAAAGCCTGTTCAACACCTACTGCTGCAAAATTGGATTTCTGTCCACAGGAGAATAACATAGATTCTTATATCTTACCTTGTACAAAAAAATTCAAAATGGACCAAAGACCCTAATTTAAAACCAGAAACTTGTAGAATAAAATACAGGGGATACTCTTTAAGAGACTAGGAAAGAGAAGAACATTCTAAAGAACATCAACACAGGAACTAATTCTAAGTTTTGGCAGATGGGACCACATGAAACTCAGAAGTTTCCGGACAGCAAATCATCAGAATTAACAGATAACACACGGGATGGGAGAATATATTTCTTCTATACCTTGTATTCTGTTGGTTATACTTGTCTCTGTAGTTCCTGTTCTTTTCCCAGATTTTTCCATATCCAGCCATCCCTTGGATTGTGTTTTCTTTATTACCTCTATTTCGGCCATCAAGTCTTGAACTGTTTCCTTTACCCGTTTGATTGCTATTTCTCGGCTTTCTTGGGTATCTTCTAACTTTTTGTTTGTCTTCTCTTCCATTTCTTTAAGGGAGTTTTTCACTTCCTGTTTAAGGGTCTCCATCACTTTCATAATGTTATGTTTAAAGTCGATTTCTTCTACTTCTTCGGGGTTAGGGTGTTCAAGTGCTCCTGTTGCATGTTTGTTGGATTCTGGTGTTATGTTATTTTTCAGGTTGTTGGAGGAATTCTTGCATTGGTGCCTGCCCATGTGTTCTTTCAAATGAGGCCAGGAGAGTCATGGTGTCTTGGTCAAATCTTTGCTGTGGCTGACTGTATTCTTTGGGGTTTTTCTTGGTCTTCCCTCCCTTAGGTCCCCTCAGCACTGGGGCTGGCTCTCAGATCCCCTCTACCCTTAAGCAGGCTGTGCTGGTAGATCTAAGGACCCTGTAGATGGATTGGAGGCGGCCTGGACTCTGTTCCCCAGGATCGTCTGGCTGCGCAGTCACTCACTCACCACTCCGGATGGATCTCCTCAGTACAGGAGCCATGGGAGAACATCTTTATCAGTCACACTCCAGATAAGGGACTAATGTCTCGGATTTAAAGATTTGCAGAAAATAAATACCAAGAAAGTAAAACTGTCAACCAAATCAATAAAAAAACTGAATAGGCAGCTTTTTTTTTAAAAAAAAAAGTAACACAAGTGACCATTAATTTATTCTAAAAGTGTTCAATATCCCTAGTCATCAAGGAAATAAAAATTAAAACTATTTTGAGATACTATCTTACTCTAGTCAGAAGAGTTATCATCAATTAACCTAACAACAAATGTTTGAGAGGCTGTGGAAAGAAAGGAGCCATTCCCCATTATTAGTGTGAGTGCAAAATTAATACAGCCATTAAATAAACCAATCTGAAAATTTCTTAAAAAAGTGAAAACAGAACTACCATATGACCCAACTATTTCACTCCTGGGCATATAGCCAGAGCACCCCAGACCCTATCATAGAAATATTTGTACCCTGTTTTTATTTCTGCTTTATTCATTATAGCAAAAAATTGGAAACAACCTCCTTGTTCATATATAGATGAATGTATAGTGAGAATGTGAGATATATATATATCTCATATGTAGATTTAGAGTTGAATATCATTCTTATATATGTAAATAATATTCAATGCTTAAAAATCTAATTTTCCAAATTGCATGAAAATAAATGGACTTAGAATGTATAATATTGAAAGAGGTCACCGAATCTCAGGAACAAAAAAGGTATACTCTCTCTCATATGCAAAATCTATCCAATAACATTTGTGTATGTATAGACACATATACATATTTTTATGGGTACAGATAACATGTAGAAAAGAGAAGGAGAAAGGCTAAACATACGGGGGTGAGGAAGAACTGAATACAGGCAATGGACACGAGTTGTTAAAGAGGGTATACAACAAATGACTTTTCTAGTTCCAAATCTGTTATGGTTTTCCATCCTCTGCCATGGTCAGTACATAAAGCTATTTTTTTTTCCATTTTGTTTTTTTTTTTTCAAGACAGGGTTTCTCTGTGGCTTTGAATCTTGTCTTGGAACTAGGTCTTGTAGACCAGGCTGGCCTTGAACTCACAGAGATCCGTCTGCCTCTGCCTCCAGAGTGCTGGGATTAAAGGCATTTGCCACCACCCTTCAAGTCCACAGTTGTTTCAAATGGTCACTCTAACTGTATACAAGTTCATTGAGTGGTATACTCTTTGCAATGTGTGTGTTTTTTAAGTGGATAATGATTTCTATGACAAAATTTGAAAGTAAAAACACAAAAGGAAGTAGAGGAATCGAGCAATTCTTGCTTCTCTAAGATGTAGCTGAAAATTCATGTTTTACAGCCACAGAAATCACTAGGGAAGTCTCTAACAGCAAGAAGGATAGAGAGATTGTGGGTAGCAGTCGAAGGTAGTAGAAGATGGGCTGGAAGAAAGTACTGGGAAGTCTATAGGTTTCTCTCTCTCTCTCTCTCTCTCTCTCTCTCTCTCTCTCTCTCTGTGTGTGTGTGTGTGTGTGTGTGTGTGTGCATGCGCGCGCGTGTGCACACGTGCTGTCCTCTGAGTATCTGTGTGGAGGCCAGAAGTTAACTCTGCACAACTTTCTGTGATGGTATATTTTACCCTTTGAGACAGTTTTGCTCACCAAACCATGATCGTACAGTTATCTCTGTAGTAGGATATAGTGGTCTTTGGGAAAATACTGAGTAAAGGCTGAATATGTTGGCTATTCCTCAGCTTGTGCATGGATGCTGGAAATTCACACTCAGGTCCCCAAGCCTGCATAATAAATACTTTACCCATTGAGCCATCTCTCCAGGTCTACAGTTCTTAAAGTATGATTCACAGGCTTCCTGAAATTCCCACTTCCATTTAGGACTCCACAAAGTCAAAATTACTTTAATAATTATATTAATATGTGATTTTCTTCCTCATGCTTCTATGGACATACACTGGATTTTTCAGGAAGTAGCATACTGCATAAGAAACAAAAGTGTATCTAGTTGTTTCGACCAGACAGCCATGATGGTGACTTGAAAAAGTGTAAAATATTCACTTTTCTCACTATAATTTTGAATTATGTTTTTCCAGATAAATATATTATCTATATCAACAGTCTTTTTATTATTATTTCTTTTGAAATAGAGTCTCAATATGTAGCACAGGCTGGCTTGGAATTCACTGTGTAGCTTTGTCTGCCTGGAGATATTCTATTCTTGCACTTCAATCTCCTGAGTGCTGGGATTATAGGCAGGGTCCTCCATTCCCAGTTACATTACTTTAAGTGATGTAAATAATAAACAGTTTCAAAAGTTGTCAGGTTCAATTTCTAGTTCAGTATATAGCCATCTATATCCCCCGTTAAAGAAAAAGCACTTTAAAACCTCAGTTATGTTTGCGAGTGTTTAGTTGCTGATACTGAAAAGCGGTAGACTGATCTGTGGGATGATGAACCAGAACTGAGAAAAAAAAAAAATTTCTGAGTTTTGGGAGTAAATAACTTTAGAGACCGTGGAACGCAGAGAAGTATGTTGCCTGTCTGAAGAACAGCCCTGGAAAAGCCTAAGGAGTGAGCAGGGGCTGCAGCACACAGAGAACACTGGGATATTCCATTTTGCGTTTTAACCCATTTGTGATCCTGAATAATTGCAACACTGCCATCTAGTGCTCCACGATGAAAATGTTTAACCCCCGCCCCCAAAGTTGGTTTACACAGATTGTTCCAGACTGGATTAAATAGCTTCATCTGCATTGCTCATGGCTATCTCTCCAATTATGTAATTTTAAATGTCTTAGGGGTCTTCTCATCTTCCGGGTATATTTAAGAGCTTCTCTCTTGTAGGGTTAGGATTCCCACTGATCCCTCCTTCCACTCTTTGTATTCCTTTCCTTGCGCAAGGAACAGCTCACTGCAGAGCTGAGGTAATGGGACCGGTAACTTTTCTGTGCTCAACTCCTCTCTCCACAAGAACGTTTCAAAAATAAATTTTTAATCGTGGATTCTGTTGGCTTAGAGAAAGGTTGCAATGTTACTTCAGAGAGTCCCGGAGTACACCTCTTCAGCCCCATCTTCAGTAACCTACATCACTATGGTGTGCCCATCCAAGCTCTATCCAATGGCATAAATGTCCCACATTTAGAGAGATGGCCTTACAATTTCAGAAATAGGGGCCTGGGGAGCAGAGAGGCAGGCCCAGGGGGAAAAAGACAAGACAGGCTGCATAAAAGCTTAGAGCTTCAGTTGCCATCACACCTCTCCATAACCACACCAGGAGCCAGAAAGTCATAAACCAAGGCCTTCACCCTCCTCCTTCCCCCAGCCACACACATGTACACACAAAGGGACCAGGAGGAATTGCTTAGAGGAATGCTCTTGGAGAATTATATAACTTAGAAGCCATGCCCATGGGAAAGGGCAAACATTAACTTGGTCAGAACTTGGATGATAAAAGTCTGTTAAAACAAGGGAGAGCTGGGACAAGAAAGTCCAATTCTTATCGTGGACAGCAGAACTTGGAGTCTTGTCACAGTTGTGGCCACTTGAGTGGGGTCCTCTAGCCTACTGCTCTTCTTACTTCCATTTGTGTCTGAGACTCTGGTCTGGGGTGAGAGGTCACCAGTCTTTACTGCTGCTCAACCCCCGTGGCTGAAGTCGGGACCTCCCTGTAAGCGCCTGTTAGTCGAGGGTGACGATTATATCTCTGCAGTCATGGCTTTTCCTGTGGGGTTCGGATGGGGAGCAGCCACTGCCGCTTATCAAATAGAAGGTAGGGGACGATGCTTCTCCCTTGTTGGGGCTGGAATGGATGCTTCTGGTGGGTTCTATAATCCTGGGTAGGAGGGCAGGGTGTTGAACAGGCAAGAGCAGAAAAAAGATGCAAAACACATTATAAATGAAACTGTCGTTTTTAGACAGAAGAGGCCGCAGTCCCTCTCTCCTTCCTCAAATAGAAGGGATGAGGGTGGGATTTTGTTGCCTTGCACTGGGTCCCAGCCATGTGAGAAGTCAGTTTACATCAGATCCGCTGCTTTCCTGGTTGACTTCCTGAACAAGTTTGCCAAGTGTTTAGAAAGGAAGGTTTTCTCCCACTGACTAGAAGAGTGTTGGATTAATTCCTCCCGATAGCTCTTTGTTAGCTGGTAGACATGCTCTGCTCTGTCCCAAGTGAGACAAAGCTAAGTATTATTTTAAACATGTCACCTGTTTCCTGGGTGTGTTCCTAAGAGAGGAATAATGAGCTATTGGGTATAAATGCTAGATCCAGTTGTGTTTGGTGGCTTAGTGTCTCAGTACTAGTCACCACCCCCACCAGATGAACATTGTCCCCACACCTGACACATACATGGTCTGTTCATCTGTAAAATAGAAAACAACTATCCTCTTGTCTTACCAAAAAAAAATGGAGAATTCTTTCCTTCCTTCGTTTCTTCCTTCCTTCCTTCGTTCCTTCCTTCGTTCGTTCCTTCCTTCCTTCTTCCTTCCTTCCTTCCTTCCTTCCTTCCTTCCTTCCTTCCTTCCTTTCTTTCTTCCTTTCTTTCTTCTTTCCTCCCTCCCTCCCACCCCGCCGCCCGCCCCCCTCCGCGCTCTCCCTCCCACCCTCCCTCCAGCCCTTCCTTTCTTTTTTTCCAAGACAGTGTTTCTCTGTGTAACAGCTCCGCTGTACTGGAACTCACTCTGTAGATCAGGCTGCCCTTGAACTCACAGAGATCTGCCTGCCTCTGCCTCCTGAGTGCCAGGATTAAAAGCATATGAATAAAGAATTCATAACAGCTACCACAGTGAAAATGTTTATTTGGTCGTAGAAGCATATGATGAAACCCTGGGTTAACCAAAGGTAAAATGTTTCTTGTGGCTTTCTGTGGTTGCTGTAACAAATGATGCCAAGCTGTGCTGCTTAAGCAACTAAAATCCGTTCTCTGACAGTTCTAGAGGCTAGGACTGGCCCTTTGAAGATGTAGTTAGCTACATTGTGCTGGAGTAGGATCTACTGTAACTGATCCACTGTAACTGATGTCCTCATACAAAGAAGTTTGGACACTGAAAGAGACCCACAAGAATACCCTGTAATACCAGGCAAACATGCCTTTTAATCCCAGCATTTGGCAGGTAGATTTCTGTGAGTTCAAGGCCAGCCTAGTCTACAGAGTACATTCCAGGATAGCCAAGGCTACAGTGAGAAATTCTGTCTCAACAAGCAAACAAACAGACAAACATCCACAAACCCCACAAAGAAAACAAATAAAATAACAAAAACAAAATTCATGTGGCAATAATAGGGAAATGAGAGCGACACAGCTATAAACTAAGAAACCCCAAGAATCAGTGGCCACCACCAAGGACTGAGAAGGGCTGAGAAAGGGTCATAGTGAAGGCCCCAGTGGCAGCAGGGCTCTGCTGATCCTTTGAGTTTGAGTTGCTCATTTGTGATAAAGGGACAGAGATCAGATTTCTGTGATTTCTACTCACTGTCTTGGTCTTCTTTATAAAAAGCTAGTATTTAAATCGAAACAGGTCAGTCAATGAAGTAATTTCTGATTGTGTAAGGGCTGGACTGCCTTGCTTATCGGTTGCAGGAGGAGTCACGTGGGAGACTGAAAACTACACAGGAGCTGTGGAATCAGTGTCATTTCACCTAACACTGACAGGGTGAGGAGGGAGCCTTTTGAATGGGAGGGGCATTTTCTAGGCAGAGTGACAGAGGGCAGGCTCATCTCCGCACCAACAAGGCTGCTTTTGGTCTCTAGTCTTTACTGCTATCTCCAGACATGTGAAGGGGAACTCTTGCTGTGACTGCCATATACAAGGCATCTCGATGGGCGGATGAGAGCTAGGACTTAAGTGTCCTGAAAGAATGTCTGAGGATGCTCTCTGGTCAGCAGGGATTCCCGCACACATCTTCCCTGAATGGTCTCTTTGCTTCTAGATGAATTTTTTACAAGGTCAGGTGGATTACCGAAAGACCAACGCCTAGTTGAGGCATTATATGGAGTCAGAAGCTGCTGAGGAAGAGAGACACCGTTTTCTTTAGACACAAGTCGCTTGATAGGTTTCCTGTGACCCAGTGGTCATCCCTGCACTTGTGTATATGTGACTGACAATGACAGCTCAGCAGGAACTGTATATGTATCATATATATGTATATACATACATACATACATACATGTATATGCATATTAGAAAAGGACATGAATTTAAAGGCACTATAGGCAGCTAGCGGTAAGGAGAAATGGATATGAGCAATATACATTGCACTTTACTATGATTTTTTTAAAAAAAGAATTTAAAAAGCACCTCTTTTTTTTTTATAAAAGAAACTACTCTTAAGTTAGGCTGTAGTTCATTTACATTTAAGTTAGATTCCCATTCTCTTTGAATATAAAGACTTAGGGGTGAAATTTTGTTTCTTTTAAGTCTGCTTTCCTTGTTAATCTCTTAGTTATAAAAGCTAACTTAAACCTTGACCATAGTCGCTATTGTAATGAACTTGCCTGGTCTCAGTATTGGCTTCAGAATTCCCAGTATCAGTTTCCCAGTATCCAGTATTAACTGCATGATTTTTTATGCATGATTTCATAACAATTCTTAATTGTTATGCCTTAACAATTATTATTTTATTTTATGTGTGTGAGCGTTTTGCCTGCATGACATATGTGCTCCAGCCACATGCATGCCTGGTGCCCAGGAAGGTAAGAGAAAGAGAACTCTTGGATTTCCCGGAACTGGAAGATACAGATTGTGAGCCACCATGTGCATGCTGGGAACTGAAACCCCACCCTGTACACAAATAGCAAGTACTATTCTTGAATCATCAATAAATATTCTTTCAAGCTCCCCTATGCTTTCCTCTCCACGTTTTTGCTGTTTTAACCGGAGTGAGGCTGCTTGATGTACCAAGGAAAGTGCATTTGAGATTCTTGTGGAGATACAATGTAATTGGGGAGAATATTGTGGTGGACATTAGGAAAATGAGGAAAGAAATTAAAATACTCTTTATCGAGAATGTCTATGAGAAAACTTTATCAAACACAAATCAACTAAATGTTTAGGTAATAAAGATAGTCCACCTAGTCCTGGTGTTTGGCGCATGATGACAATTAAGACTCATAGTCAACACAAAAGTGATCTTATTAAAAATGTTATCTTTTTTTGTAATTACTCTGACTATACAGCTGTAGTCCACCTAAAGAACTAAAAGTACAGTCTGAGACTTGTTTTCCCAAGGACATTTTCTTTTAAAAACAGTTGTTATTTTATGCATATGAACGCGTTATCTGATTATACATCAGTATACTATATGTGTGCTTGGTGTTCATGGAGGCTAAAACAAGGCAGCAGATCCTCTGGAACTGGAGTTACAGTTATAAGCTGCCACGCGGGTAGTGGGAATTGAACCTAAGTCCTTGGGAAGAGAAGCCAATGCTATTGTCCATTAAGTCCCAAAATATATTGCCTTGAGGAGTATAGTTGGATTTAACTGAGTTATTTTATTTAGGTCATTTCCCCCTCAATTCTGTCTAGTAAAAAGTTGTTCAGATAAGGCTAAGGAGCTCAAAAACTCCAAGTCTATGAAGCTCAAATTTGAAAGAGAACTCACTCATAACCTCACACCTTGCAAAATATCAATGGATTGAATGGGTCCTTCAAAATGGTACCGCGTGCTCCTGGATTTTCTGTATATGTAGCTCAGACCTCACCTCTGACGACAATCTGTTAAAAGGAAAACGTTAGACAAACTGATTTTAGCTGGGTTTATTCGAGCAAGGAAATGATCTATGAATTGGCTTGTTCCCGAAGTAGTCAAGATTCAAAAACTTAGAATAACAAGGGCAGACGAAATACTAGTTTTTCATTTTCCTAAATTGTAGACTATGAAACTAACCAGGTTGACTCTATCGTTGTTTCCTGGGTGAGCATGTGCTCTGTCCAGTCCTCAGCCTGTTACCTTTATTCAGTCACTGATGTGAGCAGTCAGTATTTAAAGGCAGAAAAAGGAAGTGCCATGCAGAAAGAGCCTAGTAACACCTCCACATTTGCCTCATTTGGACGTCTGAGTAGTTAGCAGCTGTGACTGGCTAAGTTCCTGGCTACTCTGATTGTCTAAGACTCAGGTACTTGTCACAAGTACACACTCCTTAGTTAGCTTTCATCTATGTATATATTAAGTAAGGTTCCAATTCAGTATGTAAAGGAATAGTTTCAGACAAAATTAACATTCTTCACCTTGTAAAATGGGGAAAATAATTATAGCATTTATTACAGACCAACTACGTATTAAGTGATCTGTGCTAATATGTCATTTAGATATATTATTCATATTTAGGGGCACCATAGAAGGATTGCTGAGGATGACCCACTATAGAATTCTATAGATAACTTGGCATAAGCACACAATGAGTTTTGTAAGTGTACAGTGAGTTTCAATACCAGCATCCAGTTCCACTGAGGACCTGGGGCTACCTTAGCCAGTCTATCCTATCTTTCTGTCTGTCTGGAGGCAGTCTTTCCCATGCTCTTCTGCACTGAGTATGTTAAGGTCTTGGTTTTTTGCCCCTAACCAGCTATTGTGTGTTAACTTTCTATCAACAGCTTCTAGGCTGGGGACCTTGACCAATGTGCTCTGTCCAGTCCTCATTCTGTTACCTCTGTCCAGTCACTGAATGACTTTTCTGTGCTTGCTTGTTTCTACTTTAGAAGTGCTGGGTATGAATTTTATTTTAAACCCTTCTTAGCCCAACAAGGGCAGGTAAAATACTCATTTCTCCGTTG